CTGTGCCCGCACCAAAGGTCACTCCGGCGACAGGTCACTCTTACGTCCAGTCGACGAAATCCGCTCTGCGATGCTGGCGCCATGCGATGTTTGAGGCTTTTCCGACAATGACGCGGCCCGGCGAGGCCTCGACCCTCTCCCCATGTTGCTCCCATCGTACTTAAGGACCATATCTCAGAAATAATTTCGAGCACCCAGAGAAAAGTCGAAAGAGTGTCGAAAGAGTGTCTCCTAGGGCCCGACACGTGAAAACCTGAGAGTTTTGGAGTAATTTCTTCGTGCTCGAAATTCATTCAGGTGAACAAGGCTAAAGTAGGTTGGACCATCATAACCCTCTCCCCCATTCGGCAATCCTTCGCCCACCCAAACACAATTATCTCTCCGAGCGCTTCGCGGGGCCCCGACATAGCCGACTCCCAACGGAGGGCGACCACGCCGCGCCTCAAAAGCCCTGGCACCTGGGCCTTACAGGTACACGGCGGTCGGAAGAAGTGGGTAGGAACATGAAGTAGGAAGGCGTTGGAAATAGATTGGACTTCCGCCCGCCCCCTGAAGAGCAGGAAAGAAGGAAAACCGCTCGACTCTTGAAATAGGAAGGCGCCTAAAGTAGATTAGTATTTGGGCATCCCAAAATACATACTTTCAACGACCGGCGTGTACAGTCAACCCGTGTAATAAGGACGCACGATAAGGATGCAAGGGCCTTGGAAGGCCATGTCGAAGTTTTTCGAGCGGGGCGCGGCCAGCGAAAGTGGCCAAGGATGGGCCGAAAAGGCAAGGATGCCAGGGTACCCTTGGGAAGGTTGCCCATCCTATGATGCGGGCTGGCTGTAGGGCCCCCAAAGTCGGCTCTCCAAGCCAGGGGAAGACCGCCCGGACTGGAAAAACCACGGCGTCGCGTGGGCCTAGGCTCCCAGGGCGCCCGAGCCACAATTCGGGGGTCCCAGAACTGTGCGGTGATAGTCCGCGCGGTAACCTCGGAACCCCCACAGGCCTCACCGCACGCTTCGTCGCCTCACGGTTTCGGGACCTCGGAGGCCCCGGTCGCGCGAGACGTCCTCGGACAACGACCCAAATCGCAAAACCGCGCGGTGTCAATACCCACTGACTCACCACACGGTGTGGGGTGTGGTCACCGCGCCGTTTGCGGTCAGAACCTTTTGGATAGCGTGTCGCTGCGGCGGTCCCGGCGACACGCTATGCTCTGAAAACGGATCACGTGTCGCTCCGCTCCGCGGTGCGGGAGGCTCGGAGAGGCTCGGAAGGGCAGAAGAACCACGCCCATAAGAAGCACCCCGTCAAGCGAAGCCCTGTGGTGAACGCACCTCAGGAAGGGATCGACCAGGGCAGGGCTGTCTAGCAAACGCCCACGGTTGTTTCGCAAACGCCTACGAATGGGGAAACCCGTACCTCTCCTGGGGCGCGTTCTGACCAGGATTTCGAAGCGAATCCAGCTGTGGCGACGAGGGCCTCCCAGGAGGCCCAAAAAGGAGAAAATGAGGTGAGGTCAGCGGTATGGGTACCTCTTCCTCCTCTGAGTCAACGTGCGGTCGGGGTGGCTTTCCCTCCCTTGACGCAAAAGGCCTCCGACCAACCCACGGCAGCACGCTCGCGAGACCCGGACCAGCTCGGCAGGTGGAGGAGGAGGTGGAGGTGGAGGAGGAGGTGGAGGAGGAGGAGGAGGAGGGGGGCACCGCCGCCGGCGCGGGTTGGCGGCGGGGCACCGCCGCCAGCGCGGCGGCGGGGAGCGTCGCCCCTGCCTCGGGCAGGGGAGGGGGGAGGGTGCGGGCAGGATCTCGACCACAGTCAACCAGTATGGTGAAGATGCGCGATAAGGATGCAAGGGCCTTGGACGCCCATGTCGAAGCTTTTCGAGCGGGGCGCGGCCAGCGAAAGTGGCCAAGGATGGGCCGAAGGGGCAAGGATGCCAGGGTACCCTTTGGAAGGCTGCCCATCCTTACTATGCGGGTTGACTGTGCAGAATTGATGTATTGTCTTGTAGCTCCGACGACGAAAACATTTGTGGGTGAACTCAGTTTGGAGACGATTCCCTACTCAAAAAGGTGCGGGCAGGGGATCGACTACCGAATTGATTTGCCCAGGATTTGCTCTATTTGTCGGGTCCACGAGAAAGACGTCGAATGTTCGCAGGTCTACGAGAAGTATACGCACTGAATTGCAGATTCGACAACAAAACCTCTTTTGGGGGGTCATGTTTTCTGCAGTCGATACTCTACTCGAGAAGGTGCGCGCATGATGTGTAGCCATATCCGCTGCGTCACGGACTTTCTGGGACGGGGCTCCCCAAAAAAGTCTGGGCGCAGCAAGTATGGATGAACGTTTGGCCTCTGGGGGCTATAGGCTTTCATCCATATCCGCTGCGCCTCAGGCTTCTCGGGGATGGAATCCGAAGCTCCAGGATGCAGCGGATATGGATACAAATCTTGTCAGCAGACGGTGGCGGCAGCGGTGGCGCGCAGACGACGAGCGACGACGATTATGACCATCTTCCTGCAAGCCGAAGGAAATGTGCACCTGCACACACACACACACACACCCATCCCCGCTGGCCGCCGCCCGAAACGCGACGATGAGGCACGCCTGCGCGACGACCCTGTAGGCGACCGCTAGGCCGCCTCCTCCCACTGTGGAAGCCCCTAGGAATCCCAGGAGGTGTCGGACGTCGGAAAGCCTCCATCCCTGAGCGTCTATCCTCTGCTGCCGACCGTCCAAGCGACAACGACAACGAGTGACTTGTTCACACAAAGAAGAACTTGGAGATCTTAACTCCCTCACGGGAACCGGTGTTTGGTTCCGAATCTCGGCGGCCAGCCAGGGGGGAAGTGAGAAGGGGCGGACCTCCTCAGAAGGCTCCGAAGTCCCAAAGGCCTTCTGAGAAGCTTTCCCTAAGCGTTCCCCGAAGGCACAGAACACTTCTCAGAAGGCGCGAGGGCTTCTGAGAAGCCCGGCTGCCTTCTGAGAAGGCCGTCTCTTTCCCTCTTTTCCCCCCCTCGCTCGCCGCCGACTTACGTATTCGCCACAGAGCGAAGGGGACGCAAAGGTCTGGACAAAGTTTGGCCGGGTTCTTTGACCACGCGTTCCCCGAACCACTGCGGAAACTGTTCTGGGAACGCGTGGTGGAGGAAGAGGGAATGTGGAGGGGAAGGAAAAAGGATGATGATGATGAGGAGGAGGAGAAGGAGGAGGAGGAGGTGGAGAAATATTAGAAAATCTTTAGGGAGCCTCTTGGGTCATTCTGGGAGCCTCCTCGGAGCTTCCTGCAGGTCTTTGAGACTCCTCTTGGAGGCCGCCTCGCCGCCGAAAATTCGGTCCAGGCCCCTGTAAGCCGAAAACGGCAACAACAACCACCACTGTGCCGCTATGTTTCACACGACGCGGAGGAGCGTGGGACTGTGCCGCTGCCGCGGAAGTACGCGACGACGACGACAACGACGACGACAACGACGACGACGACGACGACGACGACGACGACGACGACTGCGACTCCGACGGCGACGACGACAACGACGACGACGGCGACGACGACAGCGACGGCGGCGACGGCGGCCAGCGGCGGACGGCGAACCGCGCATGCCCACGACTGTGATCGCGGCAGGGGCGCTGGGGTCTGGATCGATCGCCCCCTCCGATCGAAGGACGGGGCGCGGAGCGAGGGGCCTCTGCTTCTCCTCCACCAGCCCCTGCGTGCTGGTGTTCCTCGTCCTCGTCCTCGTCCTCGTCCTCGTCGTCCTCCTCCTCCTCCTCCTCCTCCGCCTTCTCCCACTCCTCTTCCTCGTCAGCATCATCATCTTCGTCCGCATCCTCATCCTCATGCTTCTCCTCCCCGACCGCTACCACCTCCTCCTCATCCTCTTCCTCGCTCGTTCGCCGGGGCTTGAAATGTTGAGCTCGCGCCGTGCTGCGACGCGCAACGAATCCACGAACGAACGGGCCGTCAGGGCAGAACCGTCACGAGTCCTCGCGAAAACTCCCGGATACGCACAAGCGGCCCGTCAGGGAAAGGCTGTGCTCGAAGCTGCGCCAAATCGCCAGGCGTGGACACCGGTCGGAAGAGACTCCCCGCCAAAGGCTGCAGCGAGTAGGGGACGTCGGCAATCCCTCTTCGGGGTGAAGCGTTGTCCCGTCTTTTCAGCACAACGTCCGTTGGCCGTCCGTCGACGCATGTAGTGGCAGTGCACCCAGGGTCGCGGGGATCTGCCCGAGAAGAGGATGAACGGGAGGAGGAGGAGGAGGAGGAGGCGGAGAAGGAGGAGGCGGAAGCGGGGACGGCGGCGGATGGGGGGCGAGGAGGCCGAGGAGGAGTCATCTGAGGGATCTGATGAGGCGGCCTGCGTCGTCCAGGCCCTGGCACACAGGCCCGCGTCACGGACCTACGCCGCGCCGCACTTTCGAACCGCACTCCGGCGAGGCGGCAAGGAGCAAGGCACAGGGGCGACCCGCGCCAGGAAAACCGAAACGGCACAACGGCCCGAGGCGAGTCCAGCCGCGGCGACGCAACGAGCCACAAGCCAGACAACCGAGGCGCCCAGCATTGGCGATGAGGCATGGCCAATGCCCGACACAGCCGCCACCGACGGACCGAACCTCACAGCCAAGCTAGTGGGTGTACTTCTTGAGAGCGTTCGCCTTCGCAAGGACGACCTTGCCGAATATCACGCGGTTCGCGGCCTGGGTCGCCTTCTTCTGGCCAGCGCCAGGGATAACGAACTGGCCGTTGTTGTTTGCCACCGTTGGCCGAACCAGTTTGATTACTTCGGGGAGCGCGACGGCAGCCCACCGAGTCGGCGACGAGGAGCCCGAAGACACCCCGAAAGGCAAGCTGCCCAGGCCATGGACCCCCGAGGAAGCAGGCCATAACCAAGCAACCCGCCGCCCCACGGAGCGGACCCACCAGAAGCCGCCAGCGGCCGCCCCGAAAACACCTCGAACCAGTGACCGCACTGCCCAAACCAGGCCCCAGCTTTCAAGCCGCGCCCAGCGTGACGGTGGCCGCACGGCACACGTGCGTCCCAAGGCGCAGCGAGCTACCGTCTCGGCTGCCGCAGCTCTTCGGGCACCCTCTCGACGTTGTCGCGTGGCGCGTCATGGGCCACCCCACGTCGCCCCGCGTCAGCGCCGTCGAGAAAAACACGGACGATCGCAGTGCCTGCACCGAGGACACTGCCAGCGCGCCCTGAGCGATGACCCGCCGTGATGTGCACGCGGGCGCCCCTCTTGAACGTGATCTTGTCCTTGTCGCCGCCGCCGAACTTGTCCTGCAGTTTCGAAACAGGCAGGACGCCCTCGGCCATAGCGACGATGACCTCGAGTTCCTGCCGCTCGCCGTCGAACTCGTGGGGCTCGTTAAGGTTATCGATCTTCTCCTCGTCGCCATCCTCGAAGTGCGGCTCCTTGGGTTTCATGCACTTCGTGGGCGTCTTGGTCTTCGCCTTCATCGAGGCCGCGGTGCCGTCCGCGTCCACGAGGGGAGCCGCGTTGTCCTCCAAGTCCGCGCCCTCCTGGAAAAGCTTCCTGAGAACCGCCAGCTGGTCGTCCCGCGCCGTGAGCATACGCAGATGCTCCGCCCCTTCTCCCCAATTTGGCCACCTCGTGCTGCAGGGTCGTGCACTCCGCGCCCCGCTCCTCGAGCTGCCGCGCGGACTTCTGCAGCTACCCCTTCAGCGCAGCTACCTCCAGTTCTAGGGACTTTACCACTGCATCCCGCTGCAACTGGTACTGCTCCGCCTGCATCTTCTCCTTCCCGACGTCCTTGCCGCCCTCCGCCTCGGAGCCGAGAGGCACTGGTCCACGTCGCCAGGGAAACCGACGTCCAGGGGCGCAGCAGAGTTCTTGAGCTTGCTGATGCGACCCAGGCGTGAGGCCAACGCGTTCCCGCCGCGGTCACGTAGCAGCTCTTTCGACTGCGGGAGCGCGGGATTGTCCGCCAAGCCGAGGCCGCGCTGGATGGCCACCAACACCTCCTCGAGAAGTGCCGCCGGAACACCAGCGCCGTCCGCTTCCGTCTTCCCGTTGCCGCCGTCGGCCGCGCCACGCGCCACCGCCGTCAGCAGGAAGGCCGACTGTCTGGGCGGGCAACCAGAGCCGAGGACCGCCACCGCAGCCCCGTACGACGCCTGCGCCGCCTGGGAGGCCGCAAGCGCCTCCATCACAACACCAGCCCCGCCGCAGGCGAGGGACGCGCAGCCAGCTTCTGCAGAATGGCTTGAGCCAAAATGGCTACGGGTCCAACTTACCGATGTACTTCGTCACTGACGGTCCAATGCTTGCGAGAATGCTCGAGGCCTCGATCATCACAAAAGTCGCGATGACGAGCCTACCGATGTACTTCGCCATTGACGTTCCAATGCTCGCGAGAGTGCTCAAGGCCTCTGGAGCTCCTCCTTCACATTATCATCTCCATGGCTCCTGCGGTCTGCACCCCTCCCACGCGCGCCCGCAAATCGTTCCACTTGAGCCAAAGTGGCTTGAGCCAAAATGGCTACGGAGGCGGAGGAGGAGGCGGAGGAGGAGGACCCCCCCCTCGCCCCCCCGAGCGTGCGCGGCGGCCGCGCGTGCCGACGACAGCGATCGCGGCAGAGGTGGGGGGGAGTCTGGACGGCGGGCCGACGCCCCCGCGGATGGCGCGGAGCGGGAGGCCCCTACCCCTCCTCGTCAAGCTCCTGCGAACTGCTGCTCCTCCTCCTTTCTCCCGGCTCTTCCTCCCCCTCCTCCTCCTCCTCCTCCTCCTCATCATCATCATCATCATCATCATAATCATCATCACAATTCTCCTCCTCCTCCTCCTCCTATTCCTCGTCCTCTTCCTCCTCCTCCGGCTCCTCCTCCTCCTCCTCATCATCATCATCAATATCATCATCATCACTACCACCCTCACCATCATCGTCATCATCATCATCAGCATCATTATCATCAGCATCATCATCAGCATCATCATCATTATCATCATCATAATCATCATCGTCATCATCATCAGCAGCATCATCACCATCATCACCATCATCACCATCATCACCATCATCATCATCATCATCATCATCATCATCATCATCATCATCATCATCATCATTAGCATCATCATTAGCATCTTCATTATCCTCCTCCGCATCCTCCTCATCTTTCCCCTGGCCCCTGGGCTCGAGGCTTCCTCGACTTCGGGCCCGAGGCAAACGATTTAGATGCTGCCAGGCAACCTCGGCCGCGCGGCCGTCTCATGGGGCGACCGTCGACCATGTCGAAGCTGCGGGTGCTCGGATGGGATCCTACGTGGGGCACGGGGAGCCGTCTCCAAGAGATGGCTGCCTGCACCAAGGACACGGATGTCACACCCCTGGCGGGTGCGCAGGACATCTGCAGGGAGTCGGCCCAGGTACTTCAGAGGCGGGTGGGGGGAAGGGTGGTTCTCGAAGCAGCAGTACAGCCCGCATTCTAAACCAATCGACGTGTAGGAGTTTCTGTTCTTATGGGACGAGAATCCGCCGATCCGGCGTGTGAGTTGAAGGGGGGGGTGGGCCGGGGTGGCTCTGCCGGGGTGGGGGGGGAGGGGGGGGGGGGCTTCCACAGATTCCCTTAGGAAACCTACATTTTTAGCATGTTCGCCTCTTGGGCCTTCACAGTGTCCAAAACGGCTCAAGGGGCCCTCAAAAAGGCTCCAAGACGGCCTAAGAAGGGCTTACGCAGGCCCAGGAAGCCCCCAAGACGGCGCAAGAGGGCTCCAGGACGGGCCCAAGAGGCGCCCAAAAGGGCTCCAAGACGGCCCAAAAAGTTCCCAAGACGGCCCAGGAGGCCCCCCGGAGGCCCCAAGACGCCCCCAAGAGGCCCCCAAAGGCCCCAACTGGCCCCCAAGGACCCCCCAAAGGCCCCCAAGAAGCTCAAAAGCTGCCTCAACATCATCATCATCATCATCATCATCATCATCATCATCATCATCATCATCATCATCATCATCATCATCATCATCATCATCATCATCATCATCATCATCATCATCATCATCATCATCATCATCATCATCATCATCATCATCATCATCATCATCATCATCATCATCATCATCATCATCATCATCATCATCATCATCATCATCATCATCATCATCATCATCATCATCATCATCTCACCACCACCACCACCACCATCATCATCATCATCATCATCATCATCATCATCATCATCATCATCATCATCGCTTCATCATCTTCATCAGCATTATCGTCATCACCATCATCATCACCATCATCATCGACATCGTCATCGCCATCGTCATCGTCATCGTCATCGCCGTCATCGTCGTCATCGTCATCATCATCATCATCACCACCATCATCATCATCATCACATCATCAACATCATCAATCATCATCATCATCATCATCATCATCATCATCGTCATCATCATCATCATCATCATCATCATCATCATCATCATCATCATCATCATCATCATCATCATCCGGAGCGCCCCGGATCGGCGGCACAGGCCGGAGGCCATTCCAATATCGGAACAATCGTGTGCGACGAGTGTTTGCCAGTCTCCCAGAGCTTTGAGGACGATGTCTTGCGGCGCGAGTTCGTCGCAAACTCGTGGGTGTGTCTGTTGGTGTTGGCGTCATGCGCGTGCCTCCTCAGCCTCGCAGCAAGGGAGCTGGCCAAACATACACCCAAACGGTCGCCAAGATGACGCAATGGTGGCGGGATTGTCTAGTAAATTTACATGTGAGCTGCCTGCCAATTTCTTCGCTGATCTAAATGGCGGATTGGATAGTCGCGATATCGAGGGGACGTGGGGGGACAATGGGAGTGAGACGGTGGGACTGGCTAGGCAGGGGAGGCGGAACGGGGCGGGGGAGATGGCATCGAATCCTCTCGAGCAGCACCGTCTGACGGCAGCAAACACGATCGGCCCATGCGAGGCAACTTATCTCGGTGAAGGACCAGAGGGCCCATCGAGCTTAATCGATGTCTTGTTCATGCCGCAAGGCTGGTGTTCACGACTTGCCAAATGCCACGCGTTGCGGCGCGCGGGCGCCCAATTGCAAGCTCCGGAAGGCCGCCGCCCGCGTGGCCATGTCCCGCGTTGCCTCGAACCCCGACCCCCCGCTGGGCCCCCATGAATGTTCAGCAGTACCCAGGGCATAATTGGAACATGTCTTCTCTTATGGCTGCAGCAAGGACGAACACGCATGGCGGAACTCGTGGATGGGGATGCCTCGACGGCTCGGGGATAAGGGAGGGGCACAGGACCCGACCCGAGGTCATGATCAGGGTGCTCCAGATCACCCTGTCAAGCTTCTGGAACATATGTTTGGTCGGAGTGGGCTCGGAGTTTTCTCTGTGCAGATGCGGCCGTGCTTAATGCGCACTCTCATGGGGCCGCGCTGCGCCGCGAGCTCGTCCAGCAACGAGTGGAGCTCTGCGCCTCTCCTCGGCACGCCCAGGGCGTAGCGCCTGTGGAGACCCCTTCCTGAGCTCAAGGCCCTCTGGCAGGCTTCTGCGGCTGCTCGGTTCAAGGCATCAGCGGGCAGGGCGAGACTCCTTCGCGCAGGCATCCAGTGAGGCGCTGGCTAGACGCAATCCTTCAGAGGCCATGGGATGGGCGAGGCGGGCTACGCAATGTCGACTCTCGAACAAGACACGCGATGGACAACGCTTCGCCACCTGCGCCAGTCTGATGATCGCACCCCCAGGAATGTGGGCGTTTTTCTATATTCGGCGTTTCGACATTGGGCGGCAAGGGGAGTGGGGAGGGAGGGGTGGGGGTCTGGCTCCAGTGCGACTGTTTGCAACGGTGCGTCCTGCGGGGGGGACCCCACCTGCTCGAAACAGGCACCAAAAAACAGCCAAGATCTACTCCATGGGGGGGGAGTGGGGGATTGGGGCCCGTGCCGATCGGCAGAACAATGAATAAAAACACGATCACAATAGGGGCACCATCAGAATCGGGACAAGCAGGAGCTAGCAGCATGGTTGCGAGGGGGAAGGGGGCCACGGCTTGTCGGAGGTGGCCTGCGTGGGCCCGGGCAGTCCCTCCTCTCGGGCACCCTGAACTGCGGGAGGCGGCGAGGCATCTGGGGCCCCACGTTTCCATCTCTGAGGCTTCTAGTCAAAAGGCCTCCTAGATGGGGTCGGAGTAGATAGGGTTGGAGGATCGCGCCGCATCGCCGATACATCACCGATGCGTCGGCGATGCATCGGCGATGCATCGGCGATGCACCAGCGATGCATCGTCGACGTCGGCGGTGCATCGGCAACGTCGGCGTGAAGCAAATTGGGCTCCGCATCGAGCCGCATCGCCGATGCATCGACGATGCGGCGCGATCCTCCGACCCCGTTTACTCGGACCCCATCTGGGAGGCCTAGAGT